TCAGAAAGAAAAAAAATGTATTCTGGGAAATATCTGATTAGAACTTTGTTCTTTTATTGAAAATGCTAGAAGATGATTTTTATTTGAATATTTGAAATTTAGTATTATTCTTTTGAAGCTATCGTCTCTAAATACCTTTAAACGGTTTTGTGCTAGTGGGTCGTGGAGGCACACACGTCAAGAAAGCTCATATCAAACAATGAACAAGAAGGTCAAAATATCAGCCATTTGCTTAAAGATGGTGAATTCGAGGATCCTACTATGTACATGTTTTTCAGAATCAATGATCTTAAAGTAGGAACCAAGTTGCCTATTTACTTCAACAAAAACGATCTTCAAAAAGTTCCTCCACTTCTCACAAGACAAGAAGCCGATCCCATCCCTTTCAGTGAGTCTAAGCTTAACTTCCTTCTCAACCACTTCTCTATCTCCAAAGACTCACCTCAAGGAAAAGCCATGAAAGAGACGTTGCAACGTTGTGATTTCAAAGCTATTGAAGGAGAGTATAAGTTTTGTGGGACTTCTTTGGAGTCAATGCTTGATCTAGCCAAGAAAACAATAGCTTCTAGTACCGATCTCAAGGTCATGACAACTAAAGTAATGGTGTCGACTCAAAATACAATAAGCTATGCTTTGCATAACTATACATTCGCCGAGGATCCTAAGGAGCTATATGGGATTAAGGTGTTGGGTTGTCATAGAATGCCGTACCCTTATGTAGTTTACTATTGCCATGGTCATAAAAGTGGAACCAAAGTCTTTGAGGTTAATCTAATGAGTGAGGATGGGATGCAACGGGTTGTGGGACCTGCTGTTTGCCACATGGACACGTCGATGTGGAACGCTGATCATGTGGCTTTTAAGGTGTTGAAGATAGAGCCGAGGTCTGCACCCGTTTGTCACTTCTTCCCTCTTGATAACATTGTGTGGGTAGCAAAGTAGCTCTATTGATATGAGCATCAGAGCATATTAATAATACCTGGCTTGAAATAATAAAAAAAAGTCTTGTTGGCTTTGGTATTGCCTATTTCGTGTGACTTGCATCTTCTAACGTGAAAATATTAGTTTGATGAATGTAAAACACATATCTATATCTTGCGTCTAGATACCCTAAACATTTTACCAATTTAGTACTACTGTATTAATCTACATCAAAATAATCCATAATATTTACGACCAAAAATTATAGTATTAATTTTTCAAAAGTTGTGAAATTTGGTCAATGAGATTTATATCTGATCTAGAAGTTTTGATATTTTGGGTCGATATTAATTCTGTTTAAGGGAAACTATTATAAATATTCAATAAATGACGTTTACCCGACGATCAAAGTTCCAATCAGTATTACGACTTCTCATTTCTCGTATAATACATACTTCTCAGTGCATTGCTAATTTTTATCTTTCGTAAGAAGTTACAGGTCACAGTTAGACCGAAAAAGGTAACATCAAGATCCATAGCAACGATCTTAGAGTAACAAGTAACAATCCCGACAAATCACTTCCAATTTCATATCTTATATATCTTATATATTAAAACAGAAGTCACAATCTTAATTCATGTGCGATATTTTTTAAAAATGAATTCTTATTAGAAATCAGTTATCATTCATTTATTCCTAATAATATTTCATTTCTAATATAACAATCGACTCCTATAAAATCGGATTGGTTAACAAACATATATTTGATTCCTTAGTAATTTATACATAGTGGTAATAGTAGTAATGTAAACCATCGTATAGTTCAAAATATTGAACTGGTTAAACTAATTCCACCAATGTATATATAATGGTTGTATAAAACATCTTATCTATTAAAATAGAAATCATGACTTCTTTCATGTGTGATTTTTAATTTGGACTATTGTTTTTAAACTACATTAATCATAATATATTTTTGATATCTATTGATTTTAAATAATAAATATATTTTAAAAAAATCTAACAAATCTGTTTAAAAGATCTTAATATTTAAACTTCTCAGTAAATATCTTATCTATTAAAATAGAAATCATGACTTCTTTCATGTGTGATTTTTAATTTGGACTATTGTTTTTAAACTACATTAATCATAATATATTTTTGATATCTATTGATTTTAAATAATAAATATATTTTAAAAAAATCTAACAAATCTGTTTAAAAGATCTTAATATTTAAACTTCTCAGTAAATATTTTAATAATTTGTAATTAGTTTTAAATAATATTATACACTAATATATTTTATAAAATGTAGAAGAAAAGTTTTAACTAAAATGATAAATTATATTAAATTATTAAATTTATATATTTTATTTTTAGAAGTATTTATGTTAAAAATAAAATATGTTGGTAACATGGGTTAACATTCGCAAAATATATAATACATGTATAAAAATTAACATGTATTTCATTAAAGCTAATAATAATATAAAATATTTGTAACTACTTTAATCATGATATCTTTTCATTTTAACAATATCTTAATTTTTGGAAGTTTATGTAAATATTTTAACTAATTTTGTAATTAGCAATGAACTATTATTATGCATTAATATATATTCAATTATCGTTTATAAAATAAAACACAAAAATTTATATTTTATTTTGATTTATTTTATAATAATAATAATCCATGTTAAAATAAAATTACGATATTGAATTAGAGATGATAAATTATATTAAATTTATAAATTATAATTTTATTTTCATAAATATAAAATATTTATACGAAAAATATGATACGACGACTTAACATTCACAAACTATATGATACATGTACAAAAATTGACATATCTTAGAATTTTGTATATACAAAGAATATATTTTTTCATGAATAAATATGAAAAAATATTGTTAAAAGGAAATACGACTTTGAAAGTTGACAGGTTAGAGTTGAATATAAATTTGATACAAAATAATCTTTAAATATGTTGTTTTATGCATATTTTTTAATAACTAAATCAAAATATATTAAGATAAATATATAATAAAAATGACAAATATATGTGATGTTTTGAAATAAATCCACACGGTTGTGCGGATCGAGAACTAGGTTACACTAAATGTCGTTTATTCAGTTTGGCGTATAATTGGCATATAATTAAGACCAGAGTAAGCCCACTCGCATTGTGGACTCATAACTATTGGGGTGTATCAGACTATTTCTTTGTTTTGTTTTTTCCAAGTTGGTTGACTTCAGTTAAACAAATTTGAATGATCTAAGCCAGGTTCCAATCTAATCCGGATTTTGTATGCAAAGATGTTCAAGAAAAGTTTCCTATCTCTATAATATTATTTGAGAAGTTAGTTTCGTACGTGTCGCGCTCACGTTAACTCTCGCGAAGGTTGATTACATAGATAACCTTAATGAATTGTTAGATTTTAAGATTATTATTTAAAAAAATTATTTAGTTTTTTTTTATATTTTTCCAAATAACATATATAACAAAAAGGAAATATTTCTAAAATTTTAAAACAAATTTTAAAACGAAATTATATGCATATAATATGACTTTATTAAAAAGGAAAGTTCACAAAATAGTAATACCCCCATTAATATATACATAATATGACTTTATTAAAAAAGAAAGTTCACAAAATAGTAATACCCCCATTAATATATATGTTTAAATAACATAAAATATATTTTAAAAATAATAAAAATATATATGTTGATAAATTTTCAAATATTTTTTTAGAAATTAACATATAATTTGATAAATATTATGAAAACACATGTATATTTAAAGGATAAATC